CACACACACACACACACACACACACACACACACACACACACACACACCACATCACAAGGGGAACAAAGCATCGGCCCCAGCCTGCAGGCCCGAGCACACACCCTCACACAGGTGGAAACTTGGCACCTCCGTCTCATCCTTTGCCTCTTCGTCTGTTTTCTTTCATCACTTTTCCAGTCATTTCTCACTCCGTCTACCCAGAGCTCACTATTAGCGATTCATCTTGCGCTTTCCACTTCCGCAGCCACTGCTTTCTTTCTCCGATTCTCTCTATATTCAGGCCTCATTAGGCGGTGAATGTTTCTATTTCAAGAAGTCCATTTGCTTTGGGATTTAAATGATATTTTTATGCAAAAGTATCTTTTTCAGATTTTAAGATGAGCTGTTCTTTCCAGTAAAATATCTTTCAATGATCCTCCGGCCGACTGAATGCTTTTAGACTGGGCAGAAACTACTTCAATTGAGGCAGGCCAGCTTCTTTGCAGGTCTGTTTTTTTGTGCCCTTAAACGCTCCATACTAGCATGAATAATAAACCGACATGTCAGTCTAAACCTCGGCCTCATCTGTATGCTCCTCCTTCCCCCATCTCTATTCCCTTCAACTCCCTTTTTTCATCAAGATTCCTAATGTCTGTTCTTTCATCACCCATTTTTCCCTGCTGTGACTTCATCCTCTTCTCTCCCCTTCATTTCTCTCCAAGTATTTCTCTCTTTTTCACAGTTCTTCCCCTCATTAAATAGCAATCCTTTCTCATAGTAGAAGCCCATACTTTTTGGGGGTCTCTGTTGGATTTTAACTTTGAATTTAAGTAGAATCTAATTTCCAAAACTTAAAAAAGGACAATGTCATTGAAAAAAAAATCTATATCGCTAATGTGTGAAGAAAATATCTGGACTCTGAATCCATGTTGGATATTTTAGATGAATGCTATCTGAATTATGATTATGTTATTTTGAGTAAAATTACATACCACAAATCAACAACCGACAGTTTTCTAAACACTTTCAGCCATCGAGACCAGTTAGAGTTTTTGTATGTCTGATAGTAGCATTAGCTAAACGCTAGATAACGTTTAGCCACATCTGTAAGCTAGCAGCCCAGATACTTTTACTACTGAAGTCAAACATGGCAGAGGAACATATAATTAGTCGGCTGTTAAGTGAGATTGTGTTTACATTTGAAAATAATTCACACAAACCAAAGCTGAATCCCGAGTGACCAAAATAACAGCCCTAAAATTGCAGAGCAACTCTCTAAATGCTACATATTACCACCCTGAAGGCCGCTTTCTGTATATGATATATACCACTGGGTTTGACAATATTTAGTAAATGGATGGGAACTGGATACTACTTTTCTCTTGCTTAAATTAAGTATTATATAAACCTTAAATGTCTGCACTGAAGAAATGACAAACAAAATGATTCGCTCCTTTCCCTGAAGCCGTCTTTTATTTTTGGAGACCCGCAATTTAAGAAAAACTGTTAAAAATGTATGAAAGACGGTCTTTCTCTCAGTCTACCAGCTAAGTAAAGCAATTATCGTCTTCATTAAACCTAACATCTTGTGTTCATCCAGCAACACAAACTTCTTTGAGTCGGTTAACAGCAGTGGTATGTTATGCACATTTGTCAGCGACTTGCTTGTTGCAGTGACCCATTTGATAATATCAAAAGTTGCTCACTAGACTCAAAACCTGCTCCTAATTACCTCAGAAAATATAAAGTAGCACTCTAATTATAATCTGCCTTCTGTATGTGGTACAATGTGCAGAAAAGATGAAACTAGCAGTGTTGCTGTCGTTAATGTATTTTCTCTATCTTTCTTTTACATTTGCTTCTTACCATTAAGCCAGGTAGGCAAGTACTCGCTCTTCATGCTGTAGTGCTGGAGACCCAGGTTCCTCAGAATAACTGGCTCCGTACCCAGGAAGTTGTTTAGAGTTGCTGAATACAGTTCCTTATCTGTTTGAAAAAGCAAGTTTAGATTAAGTTGACATCATTTGTCTTCTTTTTCATTTTGCATGGACAGATTTGTGGAAGCTATAAAGCAACGCAGTGACACAAAAGAGGACACAAAATGAGTGTTTACAGGAACTGTGAGGCTTTTCCACAATGGAGTGAATGCAGCGTGAAAAAGTTAAATTGGAAATTTGGACTCTCATTGCAGTTTTATGGCCGGAAAACAGATGAAAACTTGTGCAGGATCAGTTTATGGAGCTGCAAGAGCACCGCATAGCTCTGTCTGCACAGACGGAGGGACGTCAGCTGGCTGGGAGTTTTGAATGTTTACAGACCCTCTCATCGGGACATCTCTCCATCAGGACAAAAATGACCACAGAGACTCACCCACTATGAGGCCAGTGTGCCCCTTGGCGGGATCGTACGGACATTTGCCCTTCCCGTCTTCCAGTGTGGCCGTCTCGAGGGTAAAATCTTCCGCCGTCTGGAAGCACACACAAATTCATGCCCCAAAAAAAGAATGAGTGCACAGGTGGTTGACGGTCAGTATGCATTACGAGCCACATCCCAGAAGCTGCGAGCTCTGTCTGTCTGTCGCTGACCCCCCCTCGCCACGTTGTCCCATCGCATCAGCGTCACATGTACGCCCGGCGTCGTTCACACACATTCAGCGGAGCCAGCGATATTCCTATTTTCCGTTGCATTTACTTTCCTTTTGTCACACAGCGGTCTTAGCTTGGGGTCAGCTGCATCAAGTTGACACCTGTCAGCCCCGGCCCGCTCTCCTCTACCCAACAGAGACGCACGCACGCATACTCACAATGTAGATGCACTTGGGCTGAAAGGCGTAGGTGCCACAGGTGTACAGGTACGTGTGGTTGTAGCTCTGAAGAAATCGAATGTAGTTGAAGCACTCCGTCTGCGAGGGAGAGGGAGGAAGACGTTTTAGGAGACGCCGTCCTTGACAGAAAGGCAATAAGAGCTGCTTTGTTATTTGTTAATCCAAAGTCTATTTCTCCATGATTCCTTTTCAGTATGGTTTTTCAGTTGTTCAGGGAAAGGCTCCGAACGTCTTGGCAGTTGATATCCTCGTGTTATGATGTGCGGAGCTATCTTTTTGTCTTGGTTTGTCAACTCAGACACGAGTGCTCAGCGTCTTATGGAGGGCCATCACTTAACAGACGATGTTGTGACAAATTATCTGAATAATCTTTTAACCGAACAAGAAAACGACAGATCTTTCAGAGGGATAATTAACAGAATAATTGATGCAGTGCTTTTTGATAAGTGCCTTTTCATATGAGCGCTGTGACGAAGAGGGAGGCTCTTAAAATGGAAATGGAAACAGATGCTCAGACATAATGCAAACTAGAGGAATGAATAATTCAGTGTATCCAGTTGATGTTGCCATTGCATTGAAACAGCATCTGTATCTCATGACTGCGAAAAAGAACTGAGTGATTCTTCAGATATCTGTTGTACAGCTCCCGTAATCACAGTGAGTAATAGGGACGAGGTGTGTGTGTGGCAAACACAGCAGACAAATCAACATAACATAGAGGGTCTGGTAATTATACATCATGGCGGTCAGTGTAAATACCATATGGCGATACTTGTATAGTTAGTGAGAACCATCTGTAAGCGCAGCCATTTTGTTGAAAAGCGCTATTTTTGTGATGGGACTAAAGCATAAGCTAACACGAGTAAAAACACACACACAAATGACACCGTGTCACACTGTAATAATAATAAAAAAAGACATGGAAAATAGAGAGTGAAGCCTCAATAATCAGAAGTTTGAATATACACTCGTTTCAAATGACTCGTCCAGGTTTAATTCTTTCACAGTGTTTTCACTCTGCTTGGAGTCGATTTTTAAGCTGCTGCCACTGCAGTCCAATTAACTTTTTTGGTCCTCTGCTGGAAAAAACTTCAGAAATTACCGTTGCGCACTGAAAAGAAGTTTCAGCCCCATTTGCCAAAGCTCTCCGAGTTTCCACAAAATATTAACCTTGACTTGAAGCGAGTGCACAATGCGCTGGCTAATCAGACAGCAGCTCCAGCCGAGACTTAACTGTAGAGCTGGTTAAGGTCAATTGGCTGCCTGGCTTTGTAAATGTACCATAACCGACGGAGAGAGAGGTGGGGAATCTTAAAAGCCCACACAGTTCGATATCACTCTCCAATATCTGAAAAAAAAAAACTGAATACCTTGATGTGATTCTGTTGCACGATCTCATTCATTCTGCATCCTAGAGAAACTTTTCTAAGGTACCGCATGATAAACAATGCCACTTTGGATTTGTGGTCTAGTAATGATTTGCTGAACTCAAATCAATACATACAAGAATATAAAAATTTAATGACTCAAACAACAAATGTCAAACCAGCTCGGACTGCAAAAGTTAGTGCGACTTAAAAGAAACACTGGGTTCGCCGGCAAAAAGTCAGAAACATGACTGAGCACCTTAGAGGAGATGATTCTCTCAGATCTGAAAGTGGGCAAAGGTTCACTGGTCTTCAGAACACTATGTATAACTTTTCTAAAAATATACCTGCATGAAATGTTGTCAACACTTTTAATATTCTACTAAAAGCACCTTCTCAGTTCAAAAGCCTGCATCTGTGTGGGCTTGGAGGAATGTTGGAACTGGCACCATCAATGTTGAATGATACAGGTTTTTACAGAAACACATGTTCCCATTCAGACGACGTCTACTTCACAGTAGGTCTTGCATTTTTCAGCAAGACGGAGCAGAGAGAGCAGCATATGTGGTCTTATACAACAGCAGGAAAGCAGAAAAAGGTCTGCACCCTTTAGAGAAACACATTTGGCAAGTTATGAAATGCAAAATATGACAAGAAGGATGTTTGTGGTTCCTAGATGTCTACAGATAGTTGGTCAAAGCATAGGGGGCGCTTTACAGTGGTCACTCCACATGAGCCATTATCTTAAATGTAAATGAACAATGAATCACTGTCCAGATACAATATGTTTTCTACATCACATTGTAAATGGAAGTCATTGCCTTCAGTTTTTTATCTACATAACACAGACCATCCCAGATTAGCTGTACGAATCTGGTTTGTACAAATCATCACAAATTCTCTGAGCAGTGATATAAAATTATGTGTGTTTCAGTTGCATAAATGGTTTGATTTGTTTTACTGTGGTACAGCCAACTTATTCCACACATTCAGCCTTGTTTAGAGCGTGGCATCAATCTGCTTTTTTTTGCTGCTCAAGACCAAACCCATGCTTGAACTGCTTTTAAAGGTGCTGAACCCAACAATTCACCTCACTTTGTGCTAATGCAGTGACTGGACGGTTTCCAGTTCGAAAACCGAGACAGATTTGACTAAATGTAATCAGAGAAGAGAGAAATGATACACTTTTACATTATTTCTTTAAAAAAAACAACAACCACCGCGCGGCACAAGGTCAGACAAGGCAACCGAAGGAACTGTGGAGACTGTCAGCTCAGATCCACATTACCTGGTTGTTCTTTCCCTTGGCGACACACTCCCTTTTTTTATCCTGGGGAGCTGGCCAGTCAATCTGGGGAAAAGATAAGAGAGATATGTCACATTTTGCAGTTATGTTCAAAGCAGTTTGTGAGTCTGTCTGTGTCACATTGACCATTTTATTAGTGCAGGAAATAACAACATTTGGCTCCAATCAGGAGCTCTCCGAGACAAAATATAATATTCAAAAGGACATTTTCCTTTTTGTAATTTCAGAGAAAATATTATCAGTTAATGTCACCATAGCAACAACCATGGACCCACAACAATACACTTGAATAATATATATTTGTCTTGCTAAAAGGTAAAATATGACAGCATGTTTTCATCCGCTGAATATAAACAAACAGTTTGAGATAAAGGAGTTATACTTCTTCTTCTTTTTGTCAAAATAGATGAGATTCAAAGGTCATACAAGGGAAAGGAAAATAAAAATGCTGTCGAGACAGATTCATTCACTGGCTCTGCTGCTACTGTGCTGGCTCCATATAAGTCACTGGTGGCTCAGACACCGTCAGGGTTTTAATAAAAAAGAAATAACTGCAGACTAAGAAGCCGTTTTAAGGGATAAAACACAGATGTAGATATACGACCGAAACTTTTCAGGGAAGTTAATAAAACGTACTTCCACTCACACGTAGCAGAAACCGTGTAACAAATCGCTGAACTTTGCATTACAGAAGGCGGTCCAAAAAAATCGCCTGTGTTTACTGAGACATTTCCGAACCATTAGAAATAATTATGCTGGCCATTACTGCCTCAGAGCTGCTGCAAATTTAAAACTGGATTCAAACCAACTCCAATCAAACAATGGACTATTGCAGTATAATGTAACGGTAGATTAACTTCCCTTTAAAATACAGATGGATGCGGCCACTCTAGCTTTTAATGGTGTTAGAGAAAAAAAATGCACCCTATTCACCACCAAAGGGACCGTCGATCATTTAGGGTATTTCAACACAGAGGTCCATTTACAGATGTTGGACGAGCTACAAGAAATGTATAAACCTCCCTCTTACCTAACACTGTCCATTACTATCCGCATTTAATTAGAAAGGGTGCTCTCATAACCGGTGACATGAGGGAGTTAGGAATGGTTCAAATTTAATATCTGGGTGAATTATTCATGCGTCGTGGCTGTGAAATATCCCCTGCGTAACACATGTGCTCGCGTTTTTTTAAAGAAAGATTGCCTAAAATTAAGCAAAGCGGCCATTGCTAATTGAATTTTTGTCCAACAAATCAGATCAGATGTTCTACACAATCTGATATCAAGCGGTAGGAGACGGCGACACATAGAGACTGAGCATGAATATTACAATATATGCTTATATGCTTAACAACAAGCAACAGGTCTTTAGGAACCAACACACACCTCTGAGTGTTTTTCAGAGTAATTGAGAGGTAAAATGAAAAGGTTGAGTGATTTGGTTTGAGCAATTTTGAAGGACACGTGCAAATCTCTGGCGTTTTAATCTAATTAGCCAGTCACTCAGAATGTTAGTTGGACTGGCAACTATGAATGGAAACCTGTGTGTTATTTGGGGAGGGAAGAGGTTTGTTGATCATGTGAAACGGATTTCATTTCAGATTAATTGAAATTTCGGATTCATTAGTTATTCAAATTAAGACTTCAGCTTCCATTGGAGCAGCGGTTTTATTTGTGGGTTCGGGCTCTTCTTGAAATGCTGGAACATTGTGAACCAGTGCATTTGGATGCAAATTTATAATGAAAGCTAATGAGCAAAGTAATAAAAAGCAATCTGCAGTGGTTCGATGTGTGGGGGGAAGGGGGGGGGGCATGGCTAAATAATGCAGGAGAAAGCACTGCAAACAGAAAATGAGAGCTGTGTGTCACCTAAATGTCCACAATCTGTGGAGAAACAACCCTGGAGATATCCAGTGAAGGTAGCCAGTCATGGAAGTAATAAAGACAGACAGTCGGAACGGCAGCAGCAAAGAAACAAACAGAGAGGAAAAAAAAATGTAGTCGTTAAGAGAAGAGGGGCAGGAGAAAAAGGATGATGGGCAGATGGCGACAGAGGGGACTTCTTTCCTCTATACTGCATGCTGGTGGGCTGACAACAGGGGGTCTTATTATTAGTATAAGACTCATAACCCTCAGTCCCACAGCCAGTGGGGTGGGTGGTATGTTACAGAGTGTGTGGGTATGTGTAAGTGTACATCTAATAACTGCTCATTGCAGCAGTAAATCAGATAGAAATCCCCAAACCACTCCGGGCTGCTCACTACACCTTCATTGCAGCAGTGTAATCGTATTGATTGCTTTTATGGAGCAGTTATAGAGGGAACAAAGCAAAAGTAGATTAAACCTCTGGGGGGTTTAGCATCTCTCTGTTAGGAACGTGTGCCGCAGGTAAAGTCGAGGGCATTAATAGAGACAAACAGCTTTCCCCCAGAGTGTTTTCCACAAAAAACAGAAACACAAATGAAAACAAAAGCAAAAAAATAACTAAACACACACTTCAATAAGTGTATCATAAACTCTGGGAGAGAGGATCGAAGTCTGAGGAAGTGTACACGAGTGGTTTTAACTCCAGTACGTTCACATTGGATGTGTTTGTACTAACACAACACTAATGAAACATCCAATATTTTTCACACCTTATCATCTTTACATTTAGCACTTTGGCAATACTGCTATTGTTGTAAGTTTTACGGCAACATATAAGAATATATCGGTCGAGAAATTAGAAATCAATGAATTTAATGTGAACGTCTCAAGCCTGTGAGATGTATCAGCCTAAACACGTTGAATGTAGCAAAGATTTTAGCAGAATTTACCCCTAAAAAGTTTTAAAAGGTGTTTCTAAAGGTCTTACTAAAAGCAATTAAAGTGTAAAATGAAACTTAGAGCTTTTTACTACTCTTTAACACATTCTGTTAGCTAAAAGCTAATCTATTTAGCCAGCTGAGCTAACCTAGCTGAGGGCACTGGGGAAACTATTAGCCTCCGGCAATAGCTGGCAAAATGTCTGTAAATGTACAAATTTCCCAAATGTTTTTCTCAGAGTACAGCAGCTTAACCTCTCTGGAAAGCTCTCTAATATTTCTGCTTTGGAGATGCTCTTGATATTTTCGAAGGGTGACCTTTTTTTGCTCGAGAGTTTAAACAGCTTTAGCCTTATCAAAGCTTAAAGAGTCAGTAAAGGCTTATTTTGTTTTTTCCTCTTGTGAGTGTTCACAAATGTCCAAAAGACAAAAGTGGGTAAAACAATAAAGTTCTTTCATACATTGTGACAGAAGGAGGCGCGTTTTGTGTTCCTTTCATCTGTAAACACAACCGGGCTTGGTCGTGTTGAGGTGTTTTCTTTTATATTTCTAACAAAACTGATGTCATAATTCAATTAGCCGGAAACATTTATCTCAGTGGCAAAGCTGTGTGGAGGATTCTTTGTGTTTGTCGTGTCTGTCGTAGCCCCCGGATATGAAATGTTTTGTTATCATTTAATTTGCCACATTCCTACAAAGGAATTCCACACTGCATGTACCATGTGCAATAATTGCTTTTTCAGTCTTATTAGTCAAATAGATCGTCAGTTTTTAAAAATATTCTCATCACATGCAAAGCCAGAAATATGCCCTTAAGGCGTGTTTGTCTTTTTGTGCGTCTGTGTGTGTGTTACCTGTGGCCGCAGTTGTTTGCTGATGTTGTTGGGGTCCAGAGCGAACAGAGCCTCTCGGGCCCCGACGTACAGAACCCTCTCGTGGTCCGACAGAGTCAGCATGCTGTAGTTGAACACTCCCTGCACGCTGAATCTCGCCATGCTGTCCAGCACATCTGGATGAAGACATGCACATGTCAGCACTTGTGGGGACAGGACAAATCTTTAGACAGCGCATCCCAGAGAGCCCGTAGTGGTCATTGCCATGACCGACCAGTTTGCTTAAAAATAGGAGACATCTGTTTTCCGTCACAGCCCATGTTGGAGCAGTGAAAAATATTAACCAGTCTTTATCCAATAATGGTCAACGTCTGACAAATAAAAACAGGAAAAGGTTGCACCCTTGCATTTCAGCTCATTGTTGACTGTCAGCTCTTTAACACCACAGACAGCAAGAAAAATCTGAATACTAGCCTTGGGTCCATGCCAGAGAGAGTGCCTGCTTTTGAGTACAATATCTGTTAGCAAATAAATCCAATATTTCAAACTGGAGCTGGAGAAAAATTTGCAGAATATCTTTAACGTTGTCTGTTTTAAAAAAAAAAACTTTCTTTGTCAAGAATCTGTTGGACAAAGCCTGGCCTTGCCCAAAACAAACATCACCTGAAAACACTGAATTTAAGAAGTGCTAAGGATACAATCCCTGCTGGAACTATGGAACAACTCCCACAATCCCACCAAACATTTAATTGTACAGGCTCATGGTGAACCAGCCCGTTGTACACTGTGTAATGACGATAAAGGGCATTCAATTAATTTCTTTTCAATTTGATCTTCTGCCTAATCCAGGACTACATGCTAACAGTCGACAAGTTGCTCAGTTGCCTCAACCTGACAAACACTTGGTTAAAAAACTGAAAATCTCAATTCCAACTCAAATAATAGAGTAAACACACAACTTGCATTTCTAAGATGAGATTTTGTCATGTAACATTTGTTAATGCCTGCTTTAGGGAGAATAGAACAAAGCCCACTGGAATAGGCTCACCATGAAGCCCTCCACAAAACACAGGAACAACAGTGAGCCAGCTGCTAGCCGGCTTTCCATCTTATTTTTCCTTTTTCTATACGGAGAAAAGCAAGCAGAAAAAAATAATCCCTTTAAGACATGCGGCGCTCTTAATTTCCCCCTGACAGCCTCTCACGACTGAAAATATCAGAACTGGATGCAAGCTGCTTTCCCCTCAATCAAAATCCAGCTTGAAAAATGTCAAAACACCTAAATGGAAGTTTTGAAAAGTTATTTTGAATAAAAGCTCTCATCTATCTGACTGAGAGATAAGAGCTTTTCTCATCATCTATCAAGATTTGGGTAAATGACTCGTGCAGGACAGAGCTACGCACGGAAAGCTTCCCAAGATCTGTATTTACTTTAGAAAAATTGGAGCAGAAGTTTGTCTTCAGGGCAAGTCTGATAAATTCCAGATCTGCATGACAGCCGTGATAAGGTGATCCTGTATTTAGAAACGCTGTGCAAATAAACAAGATGCTCTTTCAGTCCAGCTCTGGTTTCGATGCAGAGCGCAGCGTTAAAGCTGACAGTAATGGACCCGACCGACAAAAGGGGAAAAAAAACATCCCACGGTCTCCTGCTTTTAAAGCAAAAAAATAATGTACTTAAGAATTCATATGATGTCTCCATTAAGAGGACTGCAAGAACGCACATTCGGCAGAATCCCAGTATAAAGCAAACTAAGCATCAACAGCTTCAATTAGCCTGGGCTTCAATGGGAGTTTGAAGTCGGTCAGTTAGTGCCAAAAAAAAGTGTGCGTTCATACACTTGCTCAATAAAAGTTCCATTAACTCTGGTAATGTCCACGCTGAGAGAGCCGAGTGCACCAGAAAAAGCAACATAAATCGCGCTCCTCTCAAATTTATCCAATTTAAGGGGCCGTTCGTAGAGCGGGGTTTGTTAAAAATTCAGCGCTGACGCATTAAGAAGAATATCCCTATGGGGAAGGCAGAGGCCTAATCCAGGCTCTGCAGAGCACCTAAACACAACAGCGCGGGGATTTGTTGGACTTTGCAGCATTATTGCAAAAAGAAAATGAGATCCGAGCGGCGACGTGGGCAGAATGCAGCGTGAAGGAATGCTTAGAAATGCTCACTAATAATGGCCGTAAATCTGCAGGGGGGGGGGCTAGATTGTTCATTACCTGGCCTGCGCATCCTTATGCAGGATGCAATTTGAATCCAAACCTTAAAAAGAGGCATCTTACTGGGGTTCAGGCCACCCCCATCACAATATGAATAGCTCCTCGGCCTCCTTGCCAAACCTTTAATTGATTCTTTTATATCTAAAAAGTACGGCGAGGCGATGCGACTTCAGGAGGATCACAAAAAGTTCTCGCCGCCCGGGGGGGAAAACAAAGGGTGACTTTCCCCGTCAAAACGGGGAAAGATGAGGATAAATGGACGGGCGCTTTGCCGTTCACCAGCACACAAACACCCACCGACCATTCGAAATCCCCTTATTAGCATACAAACAAACC